CCCGGGGAGAGTGGAAGGGGGCGGGCGGGCGGTGCTGGGGTGCCGTCCGTCTGGGGGCGACTCTCCAGGCGGGGCCTGCAGCTCGGCGGGAGGGATCGCGCCCCGGCTCTCCCACTTTCTCCGCCAGTCGGAGGCAGATGGCAGCACTATACCGCGTGCTGGCCGGAGGACGGCGGGGCTGGAGGGAGCGGACAGAAACGGACCCCAGCCCCCGAGCCCCAGGTGAACAGCAGCGCACAGTGGGGCTGACGGCGGGGATGCAGTGCCTGGTACATGTTGGTTTACTTCTAAGAAAGTTGCGTTCCGAGTCCTGAACGGGAACACTGCCTTCTCATCCCCGTGTCCACTGGCTCGGGCCGCCCGCACCCGCTCAGCACGCTTCTGCGCGGGGCTCCGCGGGCACGGACCCCCTCCAGCTGTGCGCGTGGCCTGCTCCCCTCCATCTACCGCGAGCTTTCAGGTGTCATCTCAGCGATGCCTCCCTTTCCTGACCACTGAAGCCACTTACCATTAGTATAGTTTACTTACTCGCTTCATCTCCCCCGCTAGGAGGTAAATCCCACGATCAGGGCTATCCCTCTATTTTCTTTATCCCAGTGGTTTTTGGGATGAATAAATAGAAATAGTGGACTCCAGTATCTTAAACTAAAGGAAATGAAAAAAGCCCAAGGCAGAATTTTCGCTGAAGCATGATCCTCAAACCACCACTGGCAGCTTTTACAAAACGGATTTCCACAGACATCTCTGAATGCAAAGGCAGAGGAAAGAGCAGGGCTGCGCCTGCATTTGGGGCTCTACTGCTTTCTGAACTCGGGGCCCTCTCCAAGCCTGTTTATTTTCAAGAGGAGAATTGTAACGCCCGACATGATGCTTTGGAGGAATGGATGAAGCAGACGGTGTAGCGCCTTTAGTGTCTTGCCAGGACCTTCCACGGTGCTCAGTAAAGGGTAGTCTTTGTACTGTTGGCAGGCCCCTAGTGTAAGGAGGGAGAGGGATCATCTTTAAAGGCAGATTTCTGTTCTGGTCCCACCAATCACTCCTCATCTGGGAGCCTTGGGCAAATCTTCTCTCTCAAACCAGGCGGCTGAATGAAAATCATTCAAAACTTTTTTCCCCACGTGAAAAAAATACTTGAGATGTTAACGTTGACCCATGAAAGAAACTGCACAGGGAAACCTGAAACTGGGCGACTGTTCACTATCCTCAAGTTTATGGACATAAAAGTAACAGGCATTTATAACAGCTTTATTACTCAGAACACATGGACAGGTCTCATTTCAAATATGAGTAGAAAATCGGTATATAACAAATGTGAATTAATCATTAATACGTAAAACACAGGATACTAAGACTGTTTTTAAAAAGAATTGTTTATTTACTGAACCTGGGACAGATTCGATATACAACCGGTTTTAAATTTACATATTTTAATTCAATTTTGAAGTGTTTTCTCACAGGCAAATCTTACAACAGTTGTCCTAAGGTTTTTAAAAGTCACCTTAAACTGCTGCAAGTGTTTTCACCCAAGGTGGAAAAATTGTTTATCCTGAACATGAAAACCTGTAACAAATTTAAATTATATAAAACTCGTTACTTTTAGTTTTACCTTTGCAAAGATCCAAAATAAATGTACAAGTAACTAATATACATCAGTCACTACATAATCCTGGATCATCCCCACACCAAACCTGATGCTCCTTCAATTTTAAAACCATCATCAGAGATCGAGAGAAGTCATTTCATCTTATACAAAACAAAATTCACATGTGCCAAAGAAGACCCAAGAAAAACAAAACCAAAAACCCTAGTACTAACAGTGCTGTCAGTACCCTAATTAACAAGTGGCCAAATGCCACTGATCAAAAATAAAATAGTGGCTGTATATCATTCACTGCAATGAAATCCAGGAGGCTTAACCCTTTGCCATCAGAAACACAGATTTTCCCAATTCCGTGAATGCCAAAAGTGGAGCAAGTGTGTGCCAGCACAGAAAGAGCAAGAGCTACCATTAGCTGAAACACCCAGAGAATTGGCTCTAATAGCGACTTCTTACCAGGTTAGGCAGAAATTAAAAAGGGTTATTAGCTGCTTGTGAAGTCCTACCGTTCAAAGTAAAAATTTAGGGGGGAAATTGTTGTTGGGTTGTCTTTAAAGCAAAAACAAGATGGACGAAGTATAAAAGAGCCAACCTGGGAGCACACTCTGAAGTCACAGAGCTCTACCACTGGGTGGGCAGAAAATGTCAAGATCCAGATTGTTTTCTCGTAAGAACTAAACAAAATGAATCTTTAATGACTTGAACTGNGAGCTCTACCACTGGGTGGGCAGAAAATGTCAAGATCCAGATTGTTGTTTTCTCGTAAGAACTAAACAAAATGAATCTTTAATGACTTGAACTGCAGGATGAGGGGGTCAAAAGAATGCAGTCATTTTAGTAAAGTACTATCCTGAACAATCTGCACTTAACTATGAAAACAGGAAAGAGTAAGGACCACGTGCCTACATCTCAGTATTCGAGCTCTGGAAGGGCCTGTATAAAGAAAGGAAGAATTCAAATGAGAAATTGTGCCGATCAGATGTCAAATTTTCACTAGCCTTTTCCTAAAAAGGCTTTTCCCCAATATCTACTAATCACAAAGAAACAGGCTGTGAACATACAATTCCGAAAATAAAAACATACAAACTAATGACATTATTCTGACCAAGATGTTTGGTAAACAGTGAACTATGAGTTTCGGATCATCAGGAAAAGGCTTTTTAAACAACCCTCCGGACTTCAAAAAATCTCTTCAGGTAGTAGATCTGGCCCAATGTCATGGCAACTAGAACAAGAGCTTCGAAGAAGGACCAAAGGACCACTCTGCTGTTTGTGTTGTCGTTGACTGTTGAGAACAAACAAACAAAATTTAACAACAAAAACAAAACCACAGAGGCATCAAAAATTATCCCCACACCTTACTCTGTGTGAAAGTACTACTTGCATGCCAATCATGGTCCTATAAATACTTGTCCCCGAGCCATGCAACATACTCGGCAGCAGTGGATTTTAGATTTAAATGGGACCTTAATGATTCTGAGTATAGTCAAGCCTACTCTGCTTATGTACTGGGAACAGAGAGGAAACATGACTTGCCCAAGGTTACACCCACTCCACATTCTTTCTCCCTCACACTGAAACATCCCTACATTATAATCTTTTGTTGCTGAATCAGAAAATTAACTTTTAAAAAATTAAATGATTGTTTCAAGATCACAGAGTTACCCAAAAAGCACTACTTACCAAGCCAAAATGTGTCAGTCTATTTTTTAAAAAAACAAATATTTATAGAGCACCTACTCTGTGCTTGGCGTTTGTTCTAGGGGGTTTCTCAGTCCATGGACCAACACTGGCAGTGACTACCAACTGGAACAAGTCTCAGGATTTACCCCATAAGCTCAGGATTTGATCCTTAAGGTAATAGTCATGATGCTGCTCAATTTATATCACATCCTTTCAAGTTTCTGATCAAATTCTATAGCCTTAACTTTTTAAAATTACTAGGTAGACACAGCCACTAAAATCTTTTCAAACGAGTTTTCTTTCTCCTAAACTCTAAGAGTCCCCACAAGACTTGCAACCAGGGGAGCCATGGGCAACAGCAGCTCATCCTGGGCTAACCCCCTGAATCTGTCTCCAAAGCCCCCTTTTCTCTGCCTTCCCAGTGAGCTGACAGCAGCCCCATCTTGGCTCACTTCTTTCCCATACCGTTTCCTGAGAAGCAAAGCAGCCTGCCTAGGCTCTCTCCTGTTGCTGCTTCTTTCCTAGGCCCTTCCTTATTCCACTGTCCCCAGCTTTAATAAACACCCTCTCAAAATAAAGATAAATCAAAATTTAAAAATTTTAAAAATAAAAATTACTAGGTAGTTTTTTGATTTTTCTGCAAATGGCCAATATTCTTAAAAAGAAAAAAAAAAGGTGTTTTTTCCCCCAGAGTAAGAATAGACACCCTGCCTAAGAACATTAACTAGAACTCTATAAAAACCCAAAACACTGAAATTTTAGTGCCAATTCCATGCCAGGAAGTTTACTTCTGGTGAAAATTTAGTAACCAATTTCTAGCAGAACTGTGAATGACCAGCATGTTAAGATTCTATCTGAAAGGGTACATACTTCAAATTAAACAACCACGTAAAAAGAAGTATTTATCTTTCCCTTTGCTTATAGAAAAATGCATCTTTAAGGTTAAATTGAGCCCTGGCCAGGTAGCTCAGTTAGTTAGAGCGTCATCTCAATGCACCAAGGTTTTGAGTTCTACCCCCAGCCAGAGAACATACAGGAGTCAACAAGTGAATGCATAAGTAAGTGGAACAAACAAGTCGATGTTCCTCTCCCCCTCCCCCTTACTCTCTCTCAAATCAATTTTTAAAAAATAAAAATTTTTAAAAAAGATTACATTGAACACACTGAAGCATATTAACATAGGAAAGCAGCCACCTAGGAAAGTATGTGTACATAAGACACTGTCCTCACAACACTCATATTAGCCTGATCTAGAAACAGTACAGTATTACTGTAACACTGTAGCAAAAAAAAAAATAAAAGGTCACATTATGCTGTTGGAAGAGGTACAGAAAACAAACAGATTGGAGGAACTAATTCATTTGCAAAATTAAACTGAATGCCTAAAATTCTACTTGTTTGTGAAAGGGCACCTGCAGTAAATTTGAAATAAGGCTGGTGCCCCCAGACTAGAAATCGTGCTTCCTCTGGCTGCCGTGTTCCCAAGAACCGCCTAGACCTTTAACGCCTTCTGGTCTGAACTAGTTAAAACTGCAAAGCAGTGAAAGCTCGTAGCCCTCAGCCTTTTGTTCAGTGGCCCCACCTGGGGCAAGGTAACCCACAAATAGGCCCCTGCCAGGTGAGGGAGAGAAGATGGAGATCAGAGAGTGAAGACATTCAGAGCCATGCCAGCCAGGGTGCACAGGTGCTTTTTTAAGTCAATACTTTAGTATGATAATGTTTGCAAAACTTCCAAATGAGGAAAATGGAAGCCAGCTGCTGGGTAACACACCTTAAGCATTGTGGCCACGAGACAGCACTGCAAGGTTAGCACCAGCTAACTTACTAACTTACTTGCTCTGTGTATCCTCTCCCGAACTTCCATGTACTCCTGTTCATGCTTCACAGCTGTCATGGCCACTGCTAGCTCGTTAATCATTTCTTCTAGCTTGTTCTGATGAGCTATACAAGGATTTGAAAACACATCAGCATATATTTGGAATCTCTTTTTGAAAAATACTCATAAAGCAATAAAAACATTCCTCAGAGAAGACACAAAAGCAGCTGTTTTTAGCAATGGCTCCAACATCATTTTGGATCACTGATGACAATTCTCAAAGCATTTTTAAAAAGTTGATTCCCAGTAGAAAAATCTCTTTCAGGTTAGAAAACATACTATACAATATTTACTAACTAAAGGAAATCAATTAGCCCTAAGAAATGTCTCCTATTGAACTGCTACTAAATGAGGCTCACTACAATGGCTGCTTACCAGAGAGGGGGAAAAACGGGGGGGGGAGGCACAAAATATCAAACAAAATCCTGTAACACCCTAGTAACAATCTATGAATATTTAAACTAAAATCAAAATCTACTCATATAACTCTGTTAATTGAGGAGCAGTACCAAAACAGACTTAATCTCTACGAGGCTGAGCAGAGACAAACATGAAGACACTGGGGAAAACCTAGAGCAGCTCAAACATTCTTCTGTGAGAGTCAAAGCAACGACTTCACTACAGCGGGGAGCAGCAGGCACTGCAAGTGAAAAGCTCTCAGCTGCACAAGGTTTAAAACCAGGTATCCTCTTTCCCCAGCAATGCACACAAGGTGTACCAACAGTTCTGAAGAGTAAGTGTACACTCTAGGTTGTACTATACTGTGACAGTGAAGAACCAGGTAGGAAAAACTATACCACAGAGCAGATTTCCCCTAGAGGGGTCCCCTTATCACTGCCCGAGAATGGACTTCATCTACAATTCCAAACTGCCACAGATAATCCTACATTTCCCGAGAAGCCAATGACCCTGCCATAGTGAGGTGCGGAGCAGCATCTCAAATTCTCCTTCGCTGGCTTCCCTCAGGAAGCCGCATGCACTAGGTGAACCTTTAGAGCAGGGTTTCTCGAGGCAGCACTGTTGACATTTTGGGTCAGAGAGTTCTTTGTGGTGGGGGAGCTGCCCGATGCATTGTAGGATTGATCACCCACACGCCAGGAGAAGAAAAAATGTCTCCTGATGTTGCCAAACATACCTTGAGATGCAAAAGTCACCCTGACTTGAGAACCACTGCTTTAGAGGAAGGCTTGATTTGACAGCTGCAATTCATTGACATTAACAAGCAAGAGCAAGAATTCTAAATACTGTTAGAGATTAATTAATCACTTAATATTCACATTCATCAGCCACAACTTCTAACCATTTAGAAAGAACTAATTTCTAGAAAATGAACAAACACAAAGCCCCTGAAACTCCCAATTCTCCTTGAAAATGAGCCAAGTCCTACACTGTAAATGGCCCTGAAAAGCAAGCACAGGAATTACTAAGTAGTACAAGTCTCTAAATTCTATAGATTTAAAAACCTAACAGTTCACCTTCTTTAGGATGTAAGTGCTCTACCGTCTGCTAAATACCTACGACAAATGTGATTATGGTAATAGTATAAAATGTGTTAACTGCTACTTTCCAAAAATCCTAACATGCACTGTGACAACACACCCCGCCCCACCCCCAAACGCTAATGTGCTGGCTCCCGGTAAGCAATTTATCCAGAAGAATCGATTCAGGGTTCAATGCTGGTGAGTTGAGGAATAAAAACTGATCTAACTGCAATGTACGGCTGAAAGAACTTCTGTCACATATCTAGACATGGCTCCTAGAACCGTATTTCATGTCCAACCAAGTTTCAAGTTAGAAAACTTTAGTACTCATTAAAACAAGCCAACAAACTACTTCCTACAAAGTCAATAGAACCATATGCTATTAGCTATGTTTAATGAAGACTTTTACTTGTCCAGTTACAGTTGAGTATCTCAACCCTTTGGCATTCATTTAAAAGAAACGAAATATGATGGTACCACTAAAGTGTCAATGGCTGTGTTTCCAGTGATATTAATTTAAAATGACCTAACCTGTATCTCCTGTCAACCAAATAAAAACTACCAAAAAAAAGAAAATCACTCTAGGTGTAGGGTTTGTGTGTTTTTTTTAAAATTAAGACAAAAAACACTCTCATGCCAACAAACTGAGGTTAGAAAGAAGGAAAGCAGAAATTAGGTAATAGCAAACAAAAATGTGCAAAAATACAGGATTCTGTCAAAAAGCAATCAACATACCATCCCAGGTATCTCCACCACCTAAAGAAAAGTTTAAAATATAAACACACAAAAAATAAAACAAAAGGTTTAGCTAAACTAGTCATGTACAGAAACGAGCAAATAAAGATGCATATGCCAGGATTGGCGAATTAACAGAACAAGCCACCTAAGGCGCAAGTAGCCTATGTGATTACAAGAGAACCAAGTGACTGGGGTGCCAGAGGGGCAACTGTAAAGAACCAGAATATACACATGAACTTCCATAAACTTCTGTCTGTTAATTAGGAGACCTGGATAAATAAAAAGTATATTCCACAAAAGGCGTTTTAAAGATAGTAGATGAAACCAGAGACAGGAGGGGGCAGGGGGGGCAGTGGGTGAACCTAGAGTAAGAAATCAAAGCAAACACTCAGATGCTAACAAGGAACAAAATTAATATTCACTCTTGGAATGGGATAGAAATCTTCTGAATGTTCGTCTCACCTTCTGTTTCCATGTCTTGTCCTTTCGGGGCCTCCCCAATATCAATGGTGAACATCACTATCTTTGGAGTCATGGTGGACATCCTATTGCTAAAACAGAACTTGTATGTTCCATCCATGTGAGCAGCAAATGTGTATTTCCCACTGGACTCTCGGTCCCCTTTATAGATTCCTTTATTATCAGGTCCTGTAATCTGGAGGCAGGAGAGAAATGCATGAGATACCACGGAAGGTTTCAACCCATAACCTTCCTAACCGACGCCTACTGGCAGTATATTGGGTAAGAAAATGTGATTTCCACTTAGCTCCACATCCGTGACAGCAGCCTCTCTGGGCTCCCACTTAGGAGAAAGGGCTCTCCTTCTAACCACCTTTCAACTCTGACTACATGTGTCGTATTTGTTCAACTGGGAAACAAAAACCTGCACCTTAAAAACACACTTTCTCTAAGTGGCCTAATGCCTCCGACAAACGTGCAAGCGCGTCCTCCTGACCGCCAAAACAAGGAACCTCTTTAAAACTTAAGAATTGTGGGGAAGGTGCGCTTGCAGGTTTTCCTGGGTGGTTCCTGCCAACCAGCCCCGGGATCTGCTCCACCCGAGATGCCGGAGGGAGGAAGGGAAAGGCCAGGGGGCTGGAGGGGAGGCCGAGGCCCACGCTCTTGCCCCACCCGCCGCCAGTCCGCTGTGAGCCCCCCTGGCAAAGCCGCTCCGCCTGGAAAGCTCGGGCAGGGCAATGGCTGGTCTCTAAGGGCTTGGCTAAGCGAAGAGCCCCTCCCGCCGCCGTCCCCTCGGTCCCGGGGCTCAGCTGCACCGCCTAACCTGCTACCAAACGGAAAACCCGCAGACCCAATCAATCAGGCCAGCAGGTGACGTTAAATATTAATTCCATGTGCTTCCCCCCCCCAAAAAAAAGTTAGCGATGAATCAGTCCTTTGTGTTTTAAAATATATACACGTGTATCTATATATGTATTTATACAATATGTATCTATATATACACACACATATAGGTACAACATGTATCTATATATGCGTATAGATACATATTGTAACTATATACATGTGTATGTATAGGTACATATTGTAACTACATACATGTATACATATAGACAAATATATACACACACATACATATACATATATATACACACACANATATAAATACAATATGTATCTATATATACACACACATATAGGTACAATATGTATCTATATATGCGTATAGATACATATTGTAACTATATACATGTGTATGTATAGGTACATATTGTAACTACATACATGTATACATATAGACAAATATATACACACACATACATATACATATATACACACACACACACACACACACACACACACACACACACGGGAAAGTTCGGAGGCTGCTCGTTTCTTAAAATAACTTCCCGCTCTCTCCAGACACTTCCCTCCATCGTTATCCTACAACAGGACCCAACCCCACCTGCCTCCCGGGCGGCGGCGGCTGCTCGAACCGTCTGGGGCGAGGGGCGGAAAGCGGGGGGGCTGCGTACAGGCGGCCCAGACGCCCCGCCCGAGACGCGCGCCCCGCACTCCTCGCTCACTCCCGACCGGCTCTCCCCGAAGGCCCCGCGCCACGTGCCCA